CGCAGGAAGGGGCAGCCGGAGCCAGGAGCGGGGGCCCGGCCAGTTACCTGTGGTGAAGTCCGCATGCTTCTTGAAGCGGGTTATGATGAAGTGGCACAGGATGTAGAGGCTGGCGAAGAGCAGCGTGCAGATCTGCGGAGAGGGAGGGAGGGACACATGGGTCAGAGGTGGCCCAGGCAACGGGATCCCCCCCCCCACTGCTCCCCATTCCCCCCCTCAATCCACCCCCACATTTGCTACTATCCAAGCCCTGAAGAGCAGCTGCAGGGAAAGCGCCGACACCCCGGGCCGGATCCCAGCGCAGAGCTGTGGTGTCGCCGCCAGGAGCCGCTCACGCTGGGTGTCTCGCAGGACAGCAGCCCCCGGCCTGCCCACCACACAGTACCCCGCGTTGCACTGGGGGCGGGGACAGGGCTTCGCTACTGATTTCTGCCTGACTCCATCCCAGCTGGAAATGGGACACGCTGCAGCCCAGAGGCCCTTGCGGGTAGCCCCTGCAGCTGCTGTCCCACCGGTGCCTGAGCAGAAGGGGAGGTGCGGGGGGACGCAGCTCCAGTTTAAAGTCACCCTCCAACCCCGAGCTGCCAGCCTGGGCTCTTTTAGGAAGTCCGGGCCTGGACCTACAAGGGAACCTCCCATGAAGTGGCCAGCCCCAGACCCGCTCAGCCACCCCCAGCAGCATCCCCTTTGCACTGCCGCTGCGACCAGCGCGGCAGCCCAGAGGCCCTGCACATGCACACGCCAGAATTTCCAGACATTTTGCCCGGATCTTTTGACACCCCCAGGACACGTTTCTGGGGCTCCCTTGGCCGAGTGGCTCAGGACGTCCCCAGGTCCATCGTCAGACTCTGCCCCACACTGGGCCCTGCCGCTCCACAGCATCCGTTGGCCTAGAATGGCCTGTGAGCCCTGGCTGTGCGCTCAGCCCGTAACCTGGTATTCGCCGCAGAGGCAGGGAGGGAGGGGGATTGTGTTGTGGGGGTTGCATTTTGCAGGGGCCATTGGAGCAGGGCGTGGGGGGGATAAATCTCAGGGCAAGCTGGAGAAATCAGTCTCTGAACAAACAGAGGAGATTTTGGCCCAGGCCCACAAAGGTGTTTAGGCTCCAAATGTGTGTCACTGGGGCCTGGTAACCACGACACGAGTCAGGCAGGCTCACTGCTGCCATTCCTCTCTGCCGGGTCCAAGCCAGGCCATGCCAAGCAGGACAGACGTCTGGCCACACAGAATGCCCCTGCTCTGTAATGTACCCCTTCTTGGGGGATTCAGAGGGGCCCAGGGAAGCATGTGCCACACACCCCCCGGGGGCCCGGTGCGGTCAGTCCCACCTGCCACCGGCACTAGAGCCGTGGCAGTGATTGGAAGGAAGCCGGCAAAGTCCCTCGCGGAGCTGCAGGCAGCACCTGGGAACACAGCTCACCCACCCCGAGCCGCGCTCCGAGGTCCACGCAGAGCAGGCAACGTTTTAGGAACACAAGGACCTTTGATCACTCGCAGCCCGTGTCAGACAGGCCAGGCGCAAAGGTTGCATTGCATCACCACAAACTCATTCCCCACTGCCCTCTGGACCGTGCCCTAGCAGGCCTGGAGACTCCTTGGACATCAGCACAACCTGAACCCCTCCAGAAGCAGCAGGCCCCGCTGGCAGGCCAGCCCCTCCCAGAGCCGCCAAGCCTGGCACGTGGGGCGAAGGGGTTGAAACCCCAATGACAGAAGAGGCCGGCAGCTGGAGACAACCCAGGCCGAGTCCCAGCACGGCTGGTTCTGCATCCCCGGGCAAAGGAAATGCCTTTGCAGAGAGCAGCAGGGGCTGTAATGCCAATGAGCTGGTATCAGGGGCTGCACACGTCAGACGTCCCAGCCCGGAGCTCGCAGCAGCCACCAGCCGTGCAGTCATTCAGGTTTGGGTGGTTTAAATTTAGGGCTCTCAAAGAACTGGCCCAGGGTTAACCGCTCGAAGGCTGCACGTGCCTGAAGGCTCTGGGGCCACACCCGCTCTGACGTCCTCCTAATAGGTCAGTGCTAGAAACTGGCGGAGACCGATCTGACCTCTCGTGCTGCTGGGAGCCAGCCAGCACTTCTAGCAGGGAGCAGACGGGGGCCCAGCCCTTCGGACACAGGGGTTCAGAAATTAAAGGGTGGCCAGTTCAATACATGCAAAGGAAGCCTGTTAATCACACAATACTTAGCTAGCCTGCGGAACTCCCTGCCACAGGAGTTAGCAGAATTCAAACAGGGATTGGACAGCTGCACGGAGAACCAACCTCTCCAGCGTTAGACCACCAGCGCCAGCGCCTTCAGGGAAGGGATGAGAGAGCCGAGAACTCTCCCTCCTCTCCAGTGCGGGTCTGGGCAGCGGTGAGAGCAGCTGCTAGAGGCCTGGACACAGACAGGAAGGCTCAAGGGTCCAGCCGGCAGGGGGATTTGGATCCGGCACAGGGGACTCAGGCTGGGGACCTCCTGGAGGGTCGGAAGGGGCCAGCTGGGCCTCAGCTTCCTGGCCTGGCCCCTCTCCGGGTCCATGGATCTGCTACGGGCCCATTTGTGGGGCTGTCCGGGGTCCCCCTTCTGCCCCAGATCAGCCTCTCCCCTCTGCTGCGAAGTGCAGCAGGCCCCCGGGAGGATCCCTCGGCCCCCAGCCCTGCTTGACGGGAAGCGGCAATCCCGGCTCTGCAGCGAGTCCCCTGCACCCCAGCGGGGCATCCTGCCATCCCGGAGAGCGAGCGCGCACGGCCGGGGGAGTACAGGGGGAGCAGCCTGCTGCTTCCAGATGCGGCCGCAGGCACCCAAGGGCTGGGACCTCAGTTCTGAGCAGCACCTCCCTCCCCGACACCCGCATGCCCCTCAGGGAGCGAATACTCCGCACGGCTCTTTATTCCCCCTCAGGGACCTGCAGGCCCCGAAGGCCAGTCCTGCTTCTGGACCCCACAGCTCCGTTCCCGCCACCGCTGGCCATAGCCCCAGGGCCGGGACCCATGTCGGCCCCTAGCCCCAGGGCCGGGACCCATGTCGGCCCGTGACCCATGTCGGCCCGCATGCCCCAGCCCTTCCTCCACTGGCAGAGCGGGGAGGGGACCCAGCTAAGTCTTTTCCAGCTCAGAATCCCAGGGACGCCGGGCAGGAAAGGACTTAACGGGGTTTCTGTGGCAGGAGCAGCAGGGATACAGGGAAATCAAAACCGTTTGCAAACCCCCCCACCAGATCCGGAGCTTTCAGCACCATCCAGACCCCATCCCCCAAGTGCCTTAGCACCCCGGGGCGATGGAGCCAGCAGGACTCCTCGATGGGCGACAGGGCTGGAGAGGTGCGGAGCCTGAGCTCGGCTGCCATCCAGCAGCACCCATGCACCACGGCGACCGCACACGCAGAGCGCCCGGGGCCACCAGTGAGCACAGACCCTCGTGCAAAGCCGCTGGATGATCCGGGGGGTCCCCCAGCCCCTCTGCTGCATGCCCTGCCCAGCCCCCAGAGAAAGGGCTAAGCGGAGACTCTCGGTGCATGGCACCTGCATTCCCAGCAGGGTTAGCTCCCCTGGCTCCGAGGCGCTAAGTCTTATGCAAGGCACAGCGTGTGCGCTGGAAGGTCAAGTTACTCCCCGCTGCCTGTGCCAAGCAAAGGAGTTTCTGCTGCCCCAGCAACAGAGCCAGGCAGGGGGGGACAGCAAGGGTTGAGCGGGTCCTGGACTCC